CTATAATATATGCATACGATATATATTAAAAAAGTTTGTATAAGATAAAAAGAAAGTCTTGCATTTTATTTTAATTTATAATATTTATAAATTATTATATTGTTTAATGTTACTGTAGCAGACTTTTTTAACAAATACGTTTGTGTTCTCGCAGGGGCCGGCATGGGACGGCAGAAGTGGCGTTCACACGCACATGACTAATACTAGAATCACCGATCCAGAAATATTGGAACTTCGCTATCCGGTTATACTTAATCAGTTTTCGCTTCGACTTGAAAGCGGTGGTAATGGGGCGTATATTGGTGGTGACGGTGTTGTGCGTGAGATGATATTTAGGTAATTAAAGACAGTGTTAAATATCAAATTTATATCAATATTATTATTTGTATAAATTTTTCTCCGAGTAAAAAATTCAATTTTGAGATTGATAACGAATTATTGTGTCGGCTTTATTCATAAGTATTGTTGAATATCTGTTTACAGAGCTCCGATGACTTTATCGGTATTAACCGAACGGAGGGTGCATCATCCACCTGGATATGATGACGGGGAGGAAGGGGCATGTGGCTTAAATATTTTAATGCGGGCTGACGGCAGACGAATCAACTTAGGTCCGAAAGCTGCCATTCCAGTCTATGCAGGGGTAAGCAATTTTACATCTTTCGCAAGTATGTAATTATCATGAATGTCGGAAAGAATTGATTTTGCAGATAATTGCATAAAAGAGATAATTCACATGTTGCTATAATGACTGATATAAACTGTATAAATACTTTACATAAAAATAAAACAATACATCTATATATAATTGTTATAAAGTATAATTACGCCGATAGCAATAAATGGACAATTGATATACATTTATTTCTCTCGAGGAAGTAATTGCATAATAAAGTTTAAAGTCAGCGTAGCGGAGAGGAGAGAATTTAAGGAATACGCAGAGATGAAGATACTCTATCTTTAGTAATGGTGAAATCTTCTATAGTTTATGTCGGCTCGTAAAGATTTTATCCCGGTAGATAGAATCTGCAGCCTACCGCACTTTGTACATTGCCACGCAGCAAGGGGTAAAATAATTTCCTTTGCAGCTGTGTGCGCGTGTTATTATAGATAGTAGCCGTGTTTTAAGTTTGTCGTGAAAACGCCACGTGTTAAACAAATGTTGAAACATAAGCGAGAAAGCTTCGATATATCATTCTCAATTATAAAATAAACAAAACGAAAATTTTTTCGGAACCGCACGATATTATGGATTTGAAAATATTTTGTCTTGAAAAATTTATGAGAATTTGGCAAAAAATGGCAGGGTAATGTATATAATTAAAACAATGTATAATATAGTTTTCCTAACATTTTCTACAAAAATTTTTTACGTTTATCATAATATTTGAATTCTTTATATTAGAAATTATGGTTTATAAGCATATATAAAATACTATAGATTCCGTATGTTTTTCTAGCTAAATCTTTAAAAATTTATCTCTTGTCCTGCTAAAAGAAACCGAGCATTGTACATTCTCGCAGAGACCTGCGCCTTGTGATTTTTATAATACTTGTTTTCTTAAGCGAGATAAAAAATATGAGACGGGTCGAGGAAAGATGGATGAAATACAGTAGTAAAGGGAAGAGGCGATAAAAACTATACAAGTGCGCGCATTAGCTGACGCCAGAAAAATTTCTTTTCGTAGTTACCGGAGCATGAAAGCCGGCAGCGGACATACATTTACATTTCCGAAAATTTTGTAGCGCCGTGGAATGTAGGTGGCAATTACCATGCAGATATATAAACCGGAATCTGCCGGTACTTTTGCTCCTTTCGTTACACCCATGTTTTTCTTTTGAGGCTTGTAAAAAATATTAACAAAAAGTTTCTATCTTTTTCGCATTTAAAACGGCATCTTTATGGTCGTTATCACCGGAAAATATTCCACGCGTTGGTGGTGCACCTCATTAAAAAGCGGATTGATGCGTAATTCTGAGAATGGTGATAAAAAAAGAATTCCTAATGCGATTTTATTTAAAAAATATAGTTTGTAATTATACAAGTATCGTGTAGACAGAAGATAGTTTTCATTTGTCACAGTCTTCTGTGTTGTCTAATAGCGTCTTCCATTGGGAAGAACTCGCAGCACTGAGTGCTTGAAGTGTATATCATTGGTAATTTTAATGAGCATAATCTGAATGCTGCACATTTCATTGGGAGTGCAAACTACTTTCAGTGAACATTGAGAGCATTTTGCACTCCTAATGAATGTGCAGTATTTAGAACATCTTATTAATATCTTATTAATTAATCAATGATATACGCTTCAAGCACTCAGTGCTGCGAGTTTTTCCTAATGGAAGACGCTATAAATGCTTAAATGCGACATTATGAATTCTCGCGCGCCTACATGTTTGCGTAATTTAAAAAAAAATATTTATAGAGATCGTTTTAATAATGCTATTTTTATAAT